TAAACCCTTATTCATAAACAGCAATAACGGCATTCAACATGTACGTGTAAATGAGGCTTAATAACAGCCGGGTATGACCGGTCGGCAGGGAATGCGCACTCCTCCATGACACCTGATCCCAACTCGGTTTAGAGGTCCGTGTTTGCTCTGTTCCTGATCTGTATTGCTTGAATTGCCTTTTGATCTTGAAAATTGTTTGGTAATCTAACAACCAAGCACTATGATAAACGTGATGACTTTAACTTTTATATCGTCAACTTCCCTTTATTATGCAGCAATATACTGCCCTCATCACCAGCATACGAAGCTTATATATCTCAGTTGATTTGATACACAAGAGCATGCTCTACGAATGTATAATTTCCAAAACGAGGTAAGCTATAGATGAGACAAGATCATCTGTAGTATGATGAAATTAGAATTTCAGCAGTCTCGTTTTAAGTCATCATTTCGTGAGTTCGATGGTCGATACAATGACTTTGTCAGCAAATACAATTCATCATTGAGTCAAATGCTGACTGACGTTTTTTATATTTATTGTTAGTCCATTATTTATACATACATTGAATTGACGACGGATGTTCCCGTTATTTCCCGATCATGACAAGGAGCACACGGCGGGTGTGACCAAACTGCAGGGGATGCTCACTCCTCTATGGCATCTGATCCAACCTCTGATGTTTTGGAGGTCCGTACTTGCTCCGCTCCTGTTTTGTATTGTTTTATGGGTTTTTGATCTTGAATACTGTTCGTTATCTCCATATGTTTCATTTAGATATATTTCGATAACGCATTGTCAATTAACCGTAGTTATTTCCATTCTTATGTCTGCAATATATATCATGATTATCTTGAAATAAAAGATACCACAGAGCCTGACACATGTTTCATTTTTTGTTTAATTTTACTATAAAAAGAGGTAAATGGTTATCTAACAACAAAGTTTTGTGAAAAACGTGATGACTTTAACTTTCCAACCGTCAAATGTCCTTTCTTATCCAAAAATAAACCTTTGTCACCTGCGTACGGAGTTTATATCTTTCAGTTGATTCGATACACAAACACATGTTCTATGTATGAACAATATCTAAAACGAGGTAAGTTATTGACAAACAAGTTGATGAAGCAAGAATATGAGCAGGCTCGTTTGAATTCATCAATTCTTAAGTTTTATGGTCGATGCATGTCCTTTTCTGCAAATACATTTTATCATTAAGTCAGATACTGGCTTTTTTTTTTCGATATATCTAAATGGTCGAGTTGATGACCAGAGAAAGTGTTTTCTTCTTTTCACGTATAAAATTTTAGATTACATGTAAGTCTGCTTCATATGAATAAAATAAAATAGATATTGTCAATAACAAACTCGAGCATCTTATTCAATAGGTATCAACTTAAGAGTACTTGTGTGAACAATCAGAGTGTTTTTTTTTCACAAAATGATTTTGCAAATGACAAATGAAAACGTCAGTTAATTTACGAGTTCCATTTTTATTAAAAATAAAACGGCTGTAAATGATATTAAAAAAGCCTGGACACAGGAAGAACGTCTTTTCTTTTAATGCATTTTTCCTTGTTCAGTCGGATTTAATATTTAGTGCAAAGATGATGCTTGTGCTTCTGAAAGAAGATTGCCTCCTGTTGTAAGGTTAAATTTAAGTTTTTTGCGAATAAAAAAGTGATAAGTTGTTATTCAAGGTGTTATAGAAACAAAAATGTCAGAATGTCACATTTAGGAATCTTATCTATATACTGATTCAAATGTTAATATATACCGTTAAATTCGGCAGAATTGAAATATTACCCCGTAAATGTTTGACGTATAAGCGATAAGCTTATTACAGTCATTATTCAAATCTTCTTTCTATCAAGTCGGCGTCAGGCATACTTTATTATTACTGTATCAGAATAGCTAGTGCAAGCAATGTCGTGTTATCACGATTTTTAAAGTTGATAAGATGGCCTTGGTGCATTTAAATGAAAATTTTTGATCGAGTGCAAGAAAGGTGATTGTATGTTTATACGGAATTCTATAACAGAGCACACATATTCTGCAAATATATAGACCTATTAGCATTGCTATATTGACAAAGATTTTTAATTACTAATTTTACATAGAAGACATCAGATTTAAGTTAAAGTAGAGTTTTACAAAGGTGAAGATAACTAAAAGTAATGGAACTTATAAAAGTCTACTAACAACACATGGCTGTAAACATGGACTTCCCGGTAAAGTTCATTCAATGTTTTATAGAACAACACCTTTTTTGCAACGACTTCATAATTAAAAAATAAAAAAAAAGATATTTTCAACGAGACTTTGATTATTCCTGTAATATCAACTCGTTTGTCAGTAATCTGTTTATTATGAGAGTTGTCTTCCGCTTTCAAATATCTAGGAAACGTAAACAAATGTAGGAAATAATGTCAAATTACCGTATAAATAAGAGACGTTGGTGAATTCAAAATATCCAAACGTTGAATAAATATTATTCAGATCATTATTGACACACTGAAATGTCGACGAATTTTCCCGTTCTCTCCTGATCATGACAAGGAGCACATAGCGGATGTTACCGATCTGCAAAGGATGCTCACTTCTCCATGGCGCCTGATCCCACCTCTGATATCTTGTAGGTCCGTGTTTGCTTTGCTCCAAATTGGAATTGATTTTTGGACCTTTAAGCCTGAATACTGTTCGTTATCATCATATATTTCATATATCATATTTCATATTGCCTTTTTACAAGTTTTGTTTACAATGACTTAAGATAAGACTGAAAACGAGGTTTGTTAATGGATAAAACGTTGTAGTATATATGAATGCCTTATTATTAAATCTACAACATGCGACTTCGTCTTTTCGAGTAAAAGTTTTGTATGGATTCTGGTTAGGATTAATTACAATAACCAAAATGAATATGTAAATAAAGAAAAAATCTGCTAAAAACATCATCTACAACCTTCTTATACTTAGTATTATTTTAGTTCGTCTTTACTATTGTTTACTATTGAGACTGTGGTTTCCATTTCGCAAAACTTCGCGCATCATATTCAAGTGAAGCGTATTTATTGTTTTAAAGTATTTTTTCACATATTAAGTAATAAAATTTGAAACAATTATGAAATAACAGGTTGAAAAATTTTATAAGAGTTTGCTTTTGACGTTATGATAAACTGAAACTCTTAAAGAAAGTGTCATAAAAATTTTATAAAGAAGAAGTATGAAATATAAGCTCTTTCAAATAAAGGAATTTGAGATTCTTTTTACATATTTATAAATTTTTTTTCTGTATGAATCCTTTGTTTCTGTCATATTTTGTAGTACTCCATAAAAACAGGGAAATTTCATTAATTTTGACATTTTGAGATTCCCCCTCCGGAAACAAGACAAGAGACTTTTGTGTTTCTTACATATACATGTAATATACAATATAGCATTACTCATCATATATTATAAATCGAGCGAATAGTTTATGGTAGTATTTGTATAAATTGCTTAAAATGCGAGACATTGGCACTTGCCTACATAATCCTATATTAAATGTACCTGTATTTTGGGACGGTCCCTTAAAAATATCTGAAAAAAGGTTGTTTTTCCCTAAATTGGCATGTACACTGAACTGGAGTAAATGTAAGTTACATACTGTATAATATTTAAAAGTTTCTCTATTGTAGTTTTCAAACAATAAAAAAAAACCGTCGACTCCCTTAAATATTCTCTTGAAGGCTATAGTTTTCGAAGTCCATTACCGTGTTGCGGGCGTGTTTTTATGAATGCAATAAAAGGCAAAGCTGCATAGCAAACACGTATTGAAAGGCTATTTTGATTGTCTATTGACACCGTGGGGGAAGCTCAGAATATTTTTTTTCTTTAAAAGCACATGACAAAGACATCTTTCCTACTCACATACTAATGTGATCAATAGTGTTCAAATCGCATGAAAAATTCATGATAATAATATTTTTACATCTTCATTTAAGCATTTTTTTTTACACTGTGAGCTTCTAGCACTAATAATAAAACATATCACAATTTGTTAAGTTATAATATCAAATATTAACAGAAACATATGGAAAATGCCTGTAATATGCTTTAATTTATTTTTTCTGTCATTGCCTTTACTTTGTATAGATGGAATTTGTTGTAGAAGAATGACTCTGCTAGGCGTTTTCCTTTAAAGCAACTTGTTTATTTGTGAGGAATAAGGATTATGGTTTTGGTAGAAAAGCAAACATATTTTCGTTATAACTTATACAAAGTTCTGGAATCCACTTTAAAGAAAATGAAAAATATTTAAACTGCGAACATTGATCGATCAAAAAAAAATCTATAAAGAATCCAAAGAGGATGTAAAACACGGACTAGTGGAAAACCCCGATCTAGAGGTGGGATCAGGTGCCTAGTGGGAGTAAGCATCCCCTGCTGACCGGTCACTCCCGCCGTGAGCCCTATGTATTAATCAGGAAGGCGACCCATTCACTTGTCAACGGCTATTCTCAGAACGGCAATATAAAACAAGGTCTAGCAATACGTATTAAACAAGTCACCCAAAACAAGACCAAATGGTAGGTGATTGTTGCAAACAAAGTGAATTTAATGACTATAATTTACATTATCCCGACTGTAAAAGAAGTCGAAATGCCTGTCAACTACCAGTATAAATCAACATATTAGTGAGATGTTTTACTCAATTTTTAGAAATTGATAGTACTCAAAGCAAGTTCTTGAGAAGCGAATACGTTTTGAGACATAATAATTAAACACCATACATAGGTTATAGCTGAATATGGCTATATAAATAAGGAAAGTTGACGATTGAAAAGAGTAGTCATCTCGTTTGTCAATTTAGTTGTTAGATTGCCTTCATCGTCTAAAGTCAGTAATTATATGGCATCTGTAAAAATGCAAGTGAACCTTGTGAAGAGATGTTGCATAGTTCAACCACAAAAATATGTTTCAGTTGTTCAACACCAGAAAAGAAAATAACACACTGCAATTCTCGCCATTTCTTTTCCTTTTATTATCCTTCTCCATCACCGAATTACTAATTAACATGTACAATACTAATTATCCAAAAGATTGAAATAAATTAAATTTAACATGACTGTATGGTTTCGATAAGTAATATGTATCCCTCTTAGAATGGAAGGTTTCTATAAATGAGATGTCATTAAATCTAATGGCGTATCCTTCCCTACGTGAAATGATTAACCCTTTCATTCTATACAATGATTACAAATCATGTGAAAAACAATGTTGCATTTCTGTTACATGTTACACATACTTAAGAGAATATGATAATATGTTCACATATTCCAATTAAATTTCATCCTCCTCCTCACGTCCGAAACGAAATGGCATATGTGGTTTCTCATTATCGACACTTCTACCAAATCGGAACAAAGATGACCGTTTGCCAAACCGGAAAAGACTTCCCCTTTTATCATCCCGATCTGGAATTCCTTCACTGCTTCCGTACGGAGACACGTAATAACCGTCTGTACGTTTTCCAAATCTAAACAACGAGCCCCTCTTTTCTTCCTCGCCCCTCTTCCCGAATCTAAACAACCCACCTCGTTTTCCAAATCGGAAAAGCGAACCCTTTTTAACAAGTTCATTTAGATCTTCGTTTGAAAACTCGTACGAGTCTGTAATGTCATCCATAGGATCGGATCGTCTCTTTATTGACTTAACTTCGGAATCCTCATGACCTGAAATATAAATTCGATTTTAGTGAACAGTTTCCTTTCATCAGATATATCATTCTTTTATCATCCACTCCAGAAAAGACAAAACACATTCGTTAATATTTTAATTAAAAAACATCAATTTTTTTTTGTTTCAAAAAAGTGTTTTATATAATCTGCACGTTAATGGGATACCATGGATTAGCAAACACCATACAAGACGTGGCGTACAATATTAAAACATTAGCATATGCTTTTAAAGAAATATGATAGCGCTGGTAACCATGAGATATCTAGACACGATTGAGAGCCGAACTGATTCCACTGAAAAGTCTCAATTTACCTCAATGTAAATATCAAAAAATAAATTATTTTCTTCCGTCTGCACATAAATTCAGGACATATTTCTGCCACCAAAAAATATTTGAAAGAAAAGATGAAGGATGTTTTACTTTTTTCTCCGATGAACATTAAGGTTTTACCAGAGTTCAACTTGTCCAAAGATTTTTTTACAATAGCTCCGAAACTATGTGGTTTATAAAGTTAAAACTTTTACAGTTTATAAATCTATTATTGATTAAAAGATAGAAAGTATCACTTGAAATAAATACTTTTAAAATAATATTTATGGAGAAAAATTCTTTTAAAAAATTCATATATTTGTTCTTAAATACACATAATTAAATCCGTACTTTTAGTGAATAGCACCATTGCAGAAACAATATATGTTTATCAATGAAGGACAAGTTGGACTTCGATACCTCTGGAAAGTTGTTTTCCCTGTTAATTTTGTCCAAATATTAAGATATGAAAACGAAAGGACATTAATTGCAAATGGCGGATTTTATAGCGATCTTGTCTTTAAACATTTAATTCATGCTTTCAATAACAGCCTTTCAGAGACCATTTATTTCCAACTTGCCCTTCATTGATAAACATATATTATTTCTGCAATGATGGTTTTCACTAAAAGTACAGAATTAAGGGGTGCATTTTTATAATGTGTAAAATTTTTAAAATATTTTTTACTCAAAAAGTATTTATTTAAATATTTGATCTTAAGTAATAGTTTCTACCTTTAAATCAATGATAGTTTATAAACTGTAAAAGTTTTAACATTAAAACCACATAGTTTAGGAGCTATTGTAAAAATAAATTTTTGGACAAGTTGACCTTTGGTGAAACCATAAGTGAATACATGTAAAGTTAACTCATTTTAAATTGTAAAAAGTCAACACAAGAATAAAGTGAATGTTTATTGCCTTCAGATTGAGCTTAATTCGCAATCTTGTGCATAAAATGGATATTGTGGCTGCGTATTGTGGTATCAGCAAAGACTGAGATTAGTTGATTGACAGTATGTTGTTAAACGCCCCATTCGAGAATTTTTCACTCATATAGAGACATCACCGTAAGCCGGAGGTTTCCTTTTTAATTTAGACCTTTACTTGGCACCCATGCAGGAAAGTGGGTTCTTTATCGTGCCGACAACTACCTTTAAAAGTACCTCGGTCTTTGAGAAATCATCCGAAAGACCCACGACTATCACATCTCATACCGGGCCCGTGAGAAAGCAACAGTCACTATCCATGAATTGATGTCTTAGGTTTGACGCGGCCCGGGGGGTAGAGAATTGAAATCATGTTTCCCAATCAGGAATTACAAAAGACCATTTTTACCTCTAGGCTACCGTGAGTGGTGGCAAATAGAAAGAGAGAGAGAAGGGGGGGGGGAGGGAAAAATATGCTTTTCAAATAAACATGATCGTGAAAAAATAAACAACAAAAGAATTCAAGTTAAAAAAGTATTCTTAAATCTAGAGGTTATAAATCAATGAAGTCAAAAGAGTATCCTAAACACAAAAGGCAACGAAAATGTGTATGCAAAGATTTTGAGAGAGAGAGAGAGAGAGATGGAAGGAGAGAAAGACAGGTTGAGTATAACTAATGCTGACTATTGATATAGATGGAATATCGTTTCTATACTCACTTAGTTTTGATTCTTTTGATCCATTTGATACATCAATCAAAGCCAAAAATGCCGCTAAAACCCAAATTAAAAGTGTTTTCGTCTCCATGGTTTCTGAAATATTGAAAAAAGAAAAGTAATTGTTGGTTACTGCGTCAAATCAAACAAAATGAAACTAATCATAGATCATTTTGTTATGATATTTGTTTGCATTTTCTTCCTCAAAATATACGTTTTTAATTTCATGTACCATGGTAATGCACGTTTGAATTCCCTAACAGGGCATTAAGATTGCTATATGATATCTGAAGACCTTTGAGGGTTTTCCGTAATTGAAATACAAAAGAATATTTATCTCAGTATGGAACAAATAACTTTTGGATAATTTTTTATGAAATGTGCTTTTTTCTTCCGGATAACAATGATAGTACTTAACATTGGTTCAATAATATCAGTAATTATGCTGGTCGACAATGTATATGTACATTAATATAGTCTTTGAGAGTAACGGGTTAATTAGTCCTTTCATTCGGAGATTTCAATTTTTATCAGATTCAATTCATGTAATTGGTGAAGAAAATAAACAAAAAAAAGCCATGCGTCTTAATTAGTTATATTAGGTAATATAATTTTTTCATGTTTTATATGCGCTCTTCTGGTATGGTAAACATTGAGGAAATATTTTGTCCGTAATTTTCCGTCCAGCTCTTTGTGGAAGATTTGTTTGTTTGTATGTTGTTTAATGTCCCTCTCGAGAATTTTTTCACTCATATGGAGAGGCTACCACTTGCTGATGGAGAGCTGCAAATTTTTGTCCTATACTCGGCACTCAGTCCATTGAGGAGGAAGAGATCGTGCCAGCACCTACTGCGACACGGAACCTAGGTTTATATGGTCTCATTCGAAGGACCGGTCTCCACGTCCCACAGTGGAATTCGAACCGGCGACGTAAGGACCAACTCCTTACTTCGCGACTATAGAGCAGACACTCTAACCACTGTGCCATGTGGGCGATTTTTGGAAGAATATATACTTTAATTTTCAGGAAAAAAAGTTTAGAACTTCTTTGTGCCTTTCATCGTAGTAAAACTGAAAATATTTATCTCAGGCAAGATACCAGCAAAAAATGGAGAAAAGAATCTGTTATGCCAATCTCATCAAAGCAAAATGTACTTTGATAAAAGGATCCTAATCGGATGCAAATAGAAGAATTTAATGTATTTTATGTAATTGTGATTATGCAATTCAAAGTGTATATATCAAGCTAAAGAAGTGAATGTTAATTACTTCTGATTGCATTCTACAAAAATCCGTATGCTTTGTAAGCAAAAGTTAGTACACTAAACGCCCCTACGAGTAGTATTCACTTGTTCTGAGAAATCGCAAGAAGCCGTCAGGGCAAAGTATACCATGGAAGCCGTAGGGCCATGTGTGCTCAAATGATTAATTAAAACAAAAAGTAAAATTTACAGTAAATACCAAAACTATGAAAAGATCCAATAATACATATCTCTTTACTAGACCATAATAAATCTATTTAGAAAGATTGAAATTTGTTTTGCTTGTTTTTTTTTTTTTACAGATTTAAGGGGAAAAAATCAAACACTAGCACTTGTTTCAATTTTATACAGGGTTTGGGGAGATAATTTTGGCAGAAACAAGTATATATCGTCTTAATTCTTAGAATTTGAATTTCGAGAGGAAAAGTACACCTTCCCATTTCCGCGTTTAAAATTATTTAGTTTCATTGAAATTTGTTTGATAAATGAGTCTTTCAATCTTATTTTTACTGGAATAATAAAAAATAACACTAAATCTTCAGCATGTCGTGTGTAGAAGGTTCAATATCTGAAAACGAGGTATAAACCATGATTTTATTTTTGACCATGTTTTAAAAGTGTACCGATCGCTAAATGTAAAATATTGAGTTTCCCTGCATTTCCTTAACTGTCTCTTCAAATAACAATGAAATAATTTTATGAAAAATATGGAGGTAACGAACAAGATCAATTGTCCTAAATCAATTCAAAACAAGAGCAGTGCAAACACAGACCTCCAAAAACAAAAGCGGTGGGATCAGGTGCCATGGAGGAGTGAGCACCACCTACCGACCGATCACATCTGCCGTGTGCTTCTTGCCATGATCGGGATATAACGAAAATAATCCGTTGTCAATTCATGTGTAAAAATGGCCTAATACTCAGCATCAAAAACGTCAGTTGCATGATAATTTGTATTTGCTGACAAAGTCATTGTATCGACCTTAGAACTTTCGAAATGTCGACTTTAAACACGCCTTCTGATTTCCTGGTTTAATCAATGTCTTTGTGAAAAATTTACCTCGTTTTAGAAATTGTACATACGTAGAGTATGATTTTGCGTATCGAATCAACTGAGAGATAAAAAAAAAACCGTATGCAGGTGATGAAGTATAACTGCTGCATTAGTAAGGGAAGTTGACGATTGAAAAGTCACCATGTTCATCATAGAGCTTGGTTGTTAGACTACCATTGACGTATTTTTCAAGTAAAATATCCAAATATAAAACAGATGTGTCCGACTCTGTGGAATCGTATATCTCAAGCTCACCGGGATATATCGTATCGACATAAGAATGGAAATAACCATTGTTAATTGACAATACGTCGTCGATATATCTAAATGTCGAATTGAAGGTCTCCTCTTTTCATGTGTCAGATTTTGAGTAAATTCTGCTTTATGAATACAATTTATAAGAATAGTGCTACGGTCTGCTGAAAAATGGCCTCGATATCAATTCTTTGGCATATCAATTATAGAACACATTTTTTCATCATATGTATCCTCCCTTATTAAAATCGTAATGAAAGGAAAATAAAAGCGTTACAACTTTGAAAAATCGTGGAGCAAAATAATCATACGTATAGTTTATAAACAAGAGAATGAAAAGCATAAAATATGGCAACAAGGAAAAATAAAAAGCATCATGTCGACAGAATCCATAAATCTTTGAGTGCTAAAAAGAGGAGCGTGAGATAGTCGTGCTATTAAATCAGGGGATTAAAGATCACTTCCTGCTAAGTCTCTTCATTATATAGCAAGGAATCCACACGACCAAGGCAGACATACTCTCAGATTTATGACAGCTTAAATTTATTAACGATAATAAACGATCATATTATGTCTAGAAACTCACAAAGACATATCCTGTCTCGCACTTTGTAATTTTTTTATTTAGAGACCTGGACTCCAAAGTGATCAAAATTCAGGTTATATTACATTTTTAACTTAAATCATATGTTTTTCAGTTCAACATGATAAAATGTTTAATTTTTAAAACTACACTATATCGTCTGCTTGTCAGATTTTCAAATAAGTTCTGAACAGAATTAATAATATATTTGCAGGCAGGCATTGCAAAAACTCTAGTTAATCTAGTCCACGATTCTTTCGAAACCCTGCTTCAGCTGCAAAAGAAGTGTGACGGGACCTAAAACCATAAAGATATTATCAATCAAAAATATTCATTCTAAAGGATTAAAGAAATCTCAATAAAAGACACAGCAGAATCGGACACATCTGCTTCACATTTGAAAGTTTAACTGAAGAAAGGCAATGAGGAAAACTAACAATTAGCATTTATAATAGACATTATGACTTCAACTATTCTTCACTGCATATGTTTTTTTTTTTACTACCAGTAGATCTGTTAAGCAAGAGCTAGCATTTTACGTAAGAACAATGAAGAGATGCAATTAAGAAAAAATAATGCTACAAGGACATCAAAGGAAACATATGGAGATAACGAACAGTATTCAAGATCGAAAGTCCATAAAACAATACAAAACAGGAGCAGAGCAAACACAGACATCCAAAACATCAGAGGTGGGATCAGGTGTCATCGCGTTAAAAGTCAAAATTTCGAAAATTTGCGGTCGATACACTTGTTTATAACGTAGATATGATGTCAAATGTTGGAATAATACGCTTTTTCATACAACATTATTTTCATACTGAATAGGTTGTTTTCACTTACTAGATTGATTATGACAAGGGGCACATAACACGGTGGTCGATTAAAAGGGGAAATCCACTCCTTCATGGAACCTGTACCTCTATTTTTAGTCTGTATTTGCGCTTCCAACAATGTGTATTGGGCATTTCAAGCTTGATTACCATTCATTGTCTTTATGCAGAAGAATAATATAAAGGCTTGACCCAAAAGCTGTTCTTGAATTAAGTAAAAAAAAAACTCTGAATACTTATAGTTTCAAGTACCGGAGTATTTAATGTTTGAAAAACTCTATGTCGCCATTTGACAGGTTCAACGTGAAAAATAAGTACCCTATATCTTATTTCTGAATATATGTCTTTATCATACCTTGAAATTGTCTTACTTTAAGCTTTAAGCCATTTAACAGTAAGTGCTATTTTTCTGCTTGTCGTTAATAATAAGCTACTATTGAAACCACAAAATAATCCCTAAATGTGAGAATAAATAAGGTTTGATGTTGTGCGACCACAGATATCGGATTCCAAAATTCTCTACTCAATTAAAATCGCATCAACGCCTAACATCTAAGAGCTATACTCCGAATGACAATCTCAGCTCATCATATTTATTTTATCCGTGTAAATCTATATTATTAATCAACGCTGTAGAACCTCATCTAAGCCTTGTACAGGGCTACACACAAAAACGGTCTCATTTCAAAGGCAGCTAATGTTCTTAGTAGGACCACTAGCACAAACGCAATCTCAATTTCACATCAGGATATTGGCTACCTTTAGAACAACATGCGGAAATAAAGCCAAGAAAATTTGAATTAATCAAAGAATATTTAATCCCTTTCTAGTATAAATCGCTGTAAATAAGATTTGATTTCTTTTAAGTCTTTATGTAGGAAGAAATTATCTCGATTGTTAATAATTAAGATTTTGATCGACGAAATCTTAAGAACAATAAAACTGTTTGATATCGATGCATCGTACACTGTAGGTAGTGTGTATGGGTACATCAAGCATTGTAACAAGTATGTTTAGCATGTCTAGCGCCGTGAAACCCTAAAGTCTGAAGCTCCAAACATTGATGAACATACAAAATTTACTCGTTGGAGTTGGTCTTTTAAAACACT